CACACACCGCGGCCGCCGTGCATTCACCTCGTCCTCACACCTTGCGCCACCGCTGTCGTCGCCGTCACTGTCGTTGTCGTTGTCGCCGCCTTCGCCACCACTTTTAACGTTATTATTTTTGCCTTTGTTATTAGTATTCTCTTCTCCGTCGTTCTTTCCGATATCTTCTTTCGATTAAACTGTATTACTTTGTGTTGTCGCGATCGGTTTTTACCAAGATTTCCTCGTGCACCGAGACCAAACCAAAAATCGTTTCGCCACGCTACTTTCTGACACGCCGAGGGATTACACACCCTTAAAGTAACCTTGCCACTCTCGAAACGACCGGTTCCGAATACTGACTCACAAACTAACGCATACAAACTATTCAACGTCCTCCCACTAGACACGAGATTTGTATCCCCTAATCGCGGATATACCGCATCACTTTCACGGGCGAACATGGAGCTCGATCCATGCCGAATGTTTTCTAAAACGTCCGCATCTCCGTTTTGTGGCGCTTCTCATCTGTCGTTCTTCTCTGTCTCTTAATATTTTCACCTCTTCCCACTGATCATCAGTACCTTTTCCATGTGGTTTTTGCTCATACTCAGGTTTACCAACCCTATCTGTGATGTAAATTCAACTATTTCAATTATTTTTAAATAAATATTTTTAATGTCACTTTTTTCAACCTTGCGTCTTCACTTTCTTTTAACTATTTTTTTACTAAAATTATATAAATATAGCTTTTTACATTATTTTAAACAAATTGCTATTAAAAAAATATGTATATACATATATGTATATATTTATATAATCTTGTAAACTAGGTTATATAGTACCCCAAAGCACTAGATAAATGAAAATTTTTAATTCTAATATGTAGTGTATAAATAGACTTTTAATAATTTCAATTTTTAAGTGATTTTTCATAAGTATTACACACCTTAAACTCTAAAATGATATATATAATAGAATGAGGTATATATACATACATATATACTTATGATAGTATTATTGATGTAATACTCTACCTGTCGATGTAATATCTAATGAAATAATTCAATAATTTTATTTAGAAAAACTAATCAGTAAAATATCGTTTATAAAGTACAGAATCAATCTATACGGAAAAATTTTTTATTTTTTAATATATATTATAAGACAATTTATTTAAGAATCATATAAAAATGCAAAATTTTCCTTACATTATCATTAAAAATTTTAATTATGAAATTATAAAATTTATGTCTCAAATTTCTCTTTGATTAGGAAAATAATTTTTTAAATCGAATATATATGCAACCAGTATTAAATACAATTTTTCGTACAGTTTATTATAATAAATTTAAATATATAAATTTTTTATACGTAATATTTAATATTCTTGATCTTGCGGCACTATTATGCAATCTGTTCTGTAAATAGCAGTTTTTTGATATGTAATGTTAATATTTTATGCAACAACTATAACTGTATGAAAAATAGATTATTGCCTTAATAATTATATCGTAATTAAAAATTATTTAAAGATTCTTAAAAGATAACATTTTAGTAGTTTAGATATCGTACGAAAGGAGAAACAATGCGATATCCAAAATATTCACCGCATCCGTAATAGGCTGCGTACCAATTTAATGCGCATATACAAATATTCTCCTCTAATCAAGTAGTTTTGATATTAAAAAATATCTTTTCACATATTGACTTTCTAATTATAAAATATAAACGATGGATAATTCTACCACATGAAGTACAAAAAAAGCCTTTAATACAAAGTTTCAGCAGTTCGTATATTTTAGTTTATTATTATCTTGATTATTTATTTACATTTTCATACTTTCAAATATTTGCTTTTTTCTAAATTAGGCACTATTTACGTCATAAAATGTTATTTCAACACGATAAATGTTGGTTCTGAAGTCTCTATGACATAGAGCTTATTATCGAAATATTTATATAAATATTTTGAAAACATTACATTCGAAATAGATAAGAAACTAAAGAAAAATTACATAAAGAAATATTACCTAAAGGCTTTTTATGTCACATATATTACATATTAAATATCATACTTATGATATTTCAAGTAAGTTTTGATACTCTTATATGTATGTATCATTTATATGTCACTAAATAACCTTAAACTTATGTAAATTTAAAATAGCATGATATAAATTACTAATAATAAATTATTATTTTAGGTTTAACTCAAATGAAAGCTAAGAAAATAATAAAACAAAAAATGGGAAATATTTACTAAACAAAATGTCTATCACATATTGTAATATATAAATAAAGAATTAGATATTCATTTATACATTTTCAAATTTACCATGTTATAAAAGTTATACAAGTTTGATAAGTTGTCTTTTAGACATAAATAAACTTGGGAATGAAATACATATATAACTTTATTATAAAAGAAAGTATAAAAAATAATATTGTTGCTAATTATGAAGATCCTATTCCACTTGTTTCTTTGCTTTTGGAGCAATTTAAAAAGGGATGTAAAAAAACTTCAGTATTTTAATATTTTGAGGCATTTAATCCATAAACAAGGATCTAATCCAGTAAAATCAAATTGCAAGTATCATATTAATAAAAAGCAATTGAAGTTATTTTTTGATCTTACATTCGCTAAAGTAATTCCTCTAAACATGTTTGGAAAATTGAAAAATTTTTTAAAAGTACTGAAAGCTATTTTCCATTTATTATATATACCATGTTCTATACCACTTAGTTTGAAACCTTTTATTGAAAAATTAGATTTATGTAACTGCACTATTTTAACAAAAGTAATTCATTCAATGAATTTGCACTATAAAAATATATTTATATATTTTAAATCTTCAGTAATCTGTTTTAAGTATTTACAAGATATTAAAAGTACACAGACACATGATGGGTTATAACAAAATTTGTAAAATGTTTTTTGTTGAATTTCTTTCAAAAATATTGTATATTTATTTTCATATGACATCAGATTCTAGAAACAATAATGTTGTAATGTAAAGAATTACACAATATGCATTCAGCTTAGAACTTCATCCAAACGAAATTTTTCAAATTAAATTTGGAAATCCAAAGTAAAGATAAAAGTAAATTTTAAGTTATATTATAAAATATTATGAGAACAAAATTAAATCTTGTATATCAAATATTTCATTAGAAATATTCATATTAATATTAAATATATAAGAACATCCAACATAAATATTTGTAAAACTTAATAACATTTATCAATACCAAAAATAATTTGATAAACATTACAAGCATGTCTGAGACCTTAGATAACATTTTATTGTGTCACTTTCTTCTATTCATAAGGTTATTACTAAAATTAAGTATTAATTTGAATTATGTTTTCATTTTACACGTGTTTAAAATTTGACAAAACATTAAATAACTTTGTAGCAATACTGTTACAAATACAGATTTACAACATTTTCGAAAATTAAAAATACTTTTTGATATGCTTCATTTACGAGAATAACGGTATAACGTCATTTCCTTTAACATTCAACAATTCGCCGTAAGGAACATATGATATTTTCCCCCAAAACGTTTGTAAATTGTAAGCAATGGAAATAAACCTTAGGTTAGGACAGGTTAGAGTGTAGAATGTTGTATATCATTATTTATCGGTGAGCGATCCTCTGAAAGAAAACTAATAAAGTAAACTAAATTATTCATCAATGTAAATGTGTAATGTGTAGATACCAATTCCATATTTACTTATTGTCATCTTTATATAATGTATTAAAATCTAATATTTGATTCTTATAACTACTATAAGTTGACAATACTATTTTTATAAGTTCAGATTAAAATTTGAAGTTAATAAAAACTGGATTGTTTCATTGCTCGTATTATTTACAGGTTCAAATATACAACTTCAGAGAAAAGGGCATTTATTGTATTTCTCTGTTATAAGAAAGAATTTAAATACTAAGTTAAAAAATGTATTACTCTTAAAATACATTATGGAATATGTGAACAGATCAAAAAGCAATTTAAAAAGTAAATGGTAAAACATTCTTGATAAAATTAATACAAGTTAAATTAAAAAATTATCAATGATATTACGTCTAAATAATGCTTATCTTTTTTATTCAAGGTAGAAGTAAGAAATAAATACAATAATTGGTGCATTTTAAATAAGATAGGAGACTTCTGTACAAAATAAAAAAAACTTATTTGTATTTCAGTAAAATATTCTGTAATAGCCAATATTTTGTAAAAATAAGATAATATTACATAATTATATATTTTAAAAAAGATATAATTTAAAAAAGATCGATTTTTTAAATATCTTATTAATGTGTACATTATTAAATGTGTAATAGTAATAAAAAAAAAAGACAAAGCAGATAAAACTTTGATAAATTTGAAGTGAAAAATATTATATGCTTTTAAATACTTAATCAAAAATGTCAAAACATTGTGACGTATGCTCAATATATTTTCAAGATGAATATGCCTTGCAAGGTCATCTTGCAGGTAAGAAACATTTAAAAGGAGTGGAACGATTGCAAGTTATGGAAAGGTCAATTGTTGTTTTGCCATTACCGAAATTTATTCCTGCTCGTAAACTTATTCATTTTTTTCAACAATATGGTGTAATTAAAGGACATCAATTTGGTCCAAGTTATCTCATAGTTGAGTTTTGTGACAGGTAAAATTACATTTAATATTGTTGTATTGTTTGATATTGTAATTATATTTATAATCTTTTAACAATGTAGAAGTTCTGCTGAAGCTTTATTAAATAAATCAGTTTGGATAGATAATGTAAAGCTGAATATAGAAAAAAGAAAAGCACATAATAGTGAGTATTATTCATTTGAAAAATATATATATATATTTATGTTTATAAATAATAATTATCTTCTTCTTAGATTTAAAAAGGCCAAAATCAGAGAAACAAAATAGTCTTGTGGAAAATACAGATTCTATAAGTTATGATAACATAAAATATATATTTGAAGAAAAATCTACATTTGACGATCAGTTAATGTTATTTTTAAATGCAGTACAACTTACTGATATTGAAATAGAAACAAGATACAAATCTGTTTGTATACAAATGGATAAAATATTTAAAGTGATATTTCCAAGGTGTAAAACATATAGGTTTGGTTCAACTCAAACTGGATTAGGTTTTAAGGAATGTGATTTAGATATATATATGGATATTGGTAAGACAATTTTTTATCCAATTTTATTATTATTTTATAATATATGTATTTATACTATTCTTTTTAATAATAGTACATATCCTTTTATTGAAGGTGAACCAATAAATGAAAGTAAAAGTACATCAACAGATGCATGGACTATGCATAAGATTTTTAAAGAAGTAAAAAAAGTTATGTATCGAATGAACTGTGTTTTTTCTAACATAATATTAATTCCAAAAGCTAAGACACCTATTATAAAATTTTATTATGTTAGAACAAATGTTTCTTGTGATATTTCATTCAAGAATAGTTTGGGTGTATATAAAAGCTATTTGATAAAACATTGCATATCTCTTGATAACAGGTTAAAACCACTAATGTTGCTTATTAAATATTGGGCACGACATTTTAAAATATCAAGTGGACAGAAAATATCCAATTATGCTTTAGTGTTGTTAATTATTTTTTACTTACAACAGCCATCTGTTAATATTATTCCTCCTTTAATGGTACTGAAAAGTACATGTCGACCACAAATTATAAATGGATGGCAAGTTAATTTTGACAAAAATGCAGTATTACCACCAATTACAAATAAAAATAATATTCCACAACTTCTTCATGGCTTTTTCTTTTTTTATGCGACTTTTGAATTTAAATCGCAAGTAATATGTCCGATAGATGGAATGGTACACACAGAATCAGAGTTTAAAAATATAAAAAATTTACCATCATGTATGAATAGATATAAAGCATGTGTAAAAGAAGATGAATCTCTTAAATTCAACATTAATAAACCAATGTGTGTACAAGACCCTATAGAACTATGTCATAATGTTACAGCAGGCACACAATTTTCCACATTGGATTCTGTTATAAGATATTGTGCAATTGGTGCAGAAATTTGTGCAATATCTAGTAAAAATGATTATAAAGATCTAATGAAAACTTTGCTCACCACAGATCTTAAAAAGAAAGGTAGATTTAATATTACAATTTCTGCAAATCAATCTCAATATGGATCAAATAGTATGGAAACATGTGTAAACACTACAGAAAAAACGAAATTTTCAAATGGTGACTGGTATTCTACTGTTTTTAACATAGTAAAAGATATTTTTGAAAAAGTTTTCATAGTACAAGTTGAAGTACTTCCAGCTGAAACAGAAGCAAAGCAGCAAAAAATTGAGATGTTATCAGATGTGCATATAGAAAAACAGCAAACAGTTACACTTCATTGTACTGGGACCCATTGCATATGGCGTAATAGACGAATTGACAATAATGTTTTAGATCCCAGTTTGAGTTGTTTGCAAAAGGAAGCTCTTATGTCAGAACAAGCAATAAAAAATTGTGGTAAAGAAAAAATAATAAATAGAACAAATTTAGATTATATTTGTACACTTAAAAAGAAAGATCCCTTAAAAGTAATTTTAACTGTAAGTAATACACATTGTGATGATCATGTTTTTCAAGAATTTGCTTGTTTTGCTAGAGGTAAGATAGTTGAAATAATAAAACGAACATTGATACATATGCAACAATTTAACAAATCGTAATATTATATCCATATATATAATATTGATTATGTATATTAAATACCTAATTCTGGACCAAAACATGAAAAATAATAGGAATTACATCTTGATCTGTATTATAAAATATGAATTTTCTTTAAAAATGTATTAGATTATTGTAGATTTTTTAAAAATATAGATATTAATTTCAATGTCATTAGTAAACCAAAACTAAATTTAAATAAACCTTATCTATTTATTCCACAAATCTTCCTTTTATTAGTAAATATGATTTTCATAATGTAGAGGATTATAACTATTAAGTTACAAAATACATTACAGCAATTAATAGTTGTATAATAACAAAATAAGTAATATAAATTAGATGATATAAAATGATTCTAATAAACGAAATATTTGCAATATTTGTATTGATATGATATATACACAAAAATTTTAGGCTGCTTGAACAATAATATTGCTGTTTAATGTCTCAAAATATTATTGTATTTTTTTAAATCAATACACCATACACTAATTACAAGTAAAGAAAGCTTTTAAAAGCTTAATTTTATATCATGTATGGATTTAGATAAACCATAAAATTAAGATATTTACTTTCATTAATTACATAAGGCTGATAATGTATGATGTACAATAGTACAATTTTTATTTTCATTAATAATGAGTATTTCAAAATAAATGTTAGTACATATTTTAAAAAAAATCATACATGCAAAAATAATATGAATATAATAATTCTTTAATCGTTTCTTCATGTTTAAACATTTTATTCGTCAAGACAGACCTATTTAAAGAAACATCTATTTATTTTTACAAAAACTTTTCTATTTATTTTTTCAAAAACTAAGTCTATATACTTAATTACTTTAAAAAAATTTATCTTGTAATTTCAATTTTATTATTATTGTTGTGAACTGGTGTATGACTATGGCTCCCTCTAACGTGAATATCTTGTATAGTAATAGGGTAAATTCTAACGCTGCGAATCTAACTGTATAGCAGCGCGCCCAAGGCAACGAACAAAAGTTATTTAACAAATTTATTGATTAAATGTCAAAATTATTTATCAATAACAACGGTCATCACTCTCAAATTTCGCATTTACTTTCGTTACCGTGGGAAAAAACATTGCCAAGGCATAAATCGCTTGCTTTCTAATACTGTAAACCCCAATCAAATTAATGTTTATTAGCATTAGTTAATAAGAATTTGTCTTATTGAATAACAAATAAATCGGCTACTCAACAGATAAATCTGTTACTCTGAGACCCAAAAACAGAGAGAATCGTTAGAATCGTTGAACCGTTAGAACTGTCACGCTGAGCTCAGAGTATAAATAAATTTCATAAAAATACAAATCCTTGTTAAAGTAATCAATCTATTATAAATATTCAGTTTTAAATATAATCAGTTTTAAATATAAATTATTGTTCAAGTTAATCTTTCTCGTTGTGTATTTCTTTATTCAAACGTTGAATTAGTTTTCGAATTGTTTCAAGTTGTAACGCAAGCAGAATGCTTCAGCATTCTACGGGCTGTAATGTTGTTTTAAATATGAGCATTTATTATATGATATATATATGTATATACCTATAATCTGTCGAATGAGGATAAGACAGAAACTCGAGTATCACTAGTAGGTAGCCAATAGTGGCAGTCGCAACAATCACATTTTGTTTGCGCCTACTGCTTCGTCTCGTTGGACCACGATTACGATCATACAAACAGGTCTCCACACTGATGTACTAAAACCTAGGGAAAACCGTCCGAAAATTGAGTCATGTCTAATCGTGAAAGATAAACGTGGAAAGTCAACAAAGTTCTGGTTCTTGCGAGACAGAGATGAATGAAGTGTCACTGTTCTGTCTGAGACATAGAGATGTATAGAGTGTCACTGTTCTGTCTGAACATTTATAGTATGTCACGCATGCGCAGAATAAGGATATTCTTATGTTTCATGTTAATATTTTACAACTAGTCACGACTGAATTTTCGCATAGTTTTCCTTAGGCTACAATATACGAGTGTCAAAATATGTTTATATAATCGTGATTTTAATTTCCAACTATAAATTAAAGATAAAATGTTGATATGACTTGTAGTGTTGTTTTAATCATGGACCTAGGGGTCCCAATATTCCTATGTTCATGGTTTTAATAAAAGTGTAAATAGCAATAAAAATAAAAATAAATATATTATTTCATCTCTTTCTTGTTAAAATCATAAGCATTTTTTGCATAATAGATCATTATTATTAAATTCATATTGTATTACACACGTCTTAAAACATCTGTGGGGACGTCATATTTTAACCTAAAAGTATTTTTACGCTTTTAATTATATTTATTGTCCTTTGTATTTAAAAAGACATTCCAAGGAAATTCCAAAGAAATATATGTATATATTGTTATTTCTCAATATTAAATTTTTTCTATGTTTGAGTGCATATAAAATGATTTCTAAATTGGTAGAATTTTTTAAATGGAAAAATCATTAATTTTATATTGTTTTAAAATTACAAAATTTGGATATGTATTTAATATATGAAAAATGAAGATAAATAATACAGAACAATTTTTAATTCTTCATTTGATATATTAGATAATAATAATTAGAAATTTTTTGTACATGAATATAATTTTTCTAATTAATACATATTATAATATGTATAGTAAAACGTTATTTCAATTTTCTTTCTTAATATTGGTCATAGTTGAACACTTCAGTTACATTTATAAAAATGGTTAAGAATAAATAATAGAACGAGGTAATAAACCATGATTAATGTAATACATGAAATTCATAATTACCACGTATTTGTTTATTAATTCAATGATAGCATAAACAGTGTTTTTCTTCCACCTGTTTGTATTGTCCCATAAAATGTTTATTCAACAAGACACTACATATAAATGATTTTATAATTTACACCTTAAACATAATGTTATTATATTTTGTCAATATTATATTATATACGCATTTAATTATTTATGATGTAATGTTCAAATGCAATTTGTATTTCAAATGTATTTTTATTTTAGTAATAATTTTTGGAATAATTTTAACATATGATGTAAAAATTTAATTTTTAAATAAAACGATAAATTCATGTCTTTCTTTCCGAATTTTTGCAAGAATAGACTATAACTTTTTTAATATATTGGTATATTTGATTACATGGTTCTACATTTAGTGTTTGTGCTTTATGCAAATAATTTTAGAATTTTCCACGAAAATTTCCACGCCCACGATAAGATCTTCCACCTGAATGCTTTCCTCTGTACACATGTTTCATTAGTGAACTTGATCTACCTCTTGGTAACTTCCCTCTTCCATGCCAATCTGTTCCCCTTTGGAATGTATGTTCCAATTCCAATTCTTCTGCAGAATCTTCTAGCATCATTGGACTTTCACCTCGACTATGATCACTTCTGTTTTCATGAAATTCATCACGTCCTTCTAAAGAATGCCTGTAATTAGGTGAGTATCTTTCATGGACATAATGATCTCGTACAGATCCTTTATGACTGGAGAAATTATCTCTGTTTCTTATTGGAGATTCTAATTTCATATTTCTTGAACCATGATCTAAGGAAGATATAGAATCTATACGATGTTTACGATCATCAATTCTTCTAGGAGGTGATACCGTTCTATTCCAAGTTCTTTTTTGAGAAGAATTACTTAAACTCCATCTCAAGTCGTCAGCCTCTCGAAATTTAGGTGTGCAATCAAATGTTTCACGCACATTCCAATCTAAACGATCCATAATAGGTCGTTTTTCTTCTTTAACAGCATATTGTAAATCTTGAGGATATACTTGTACTTCAGAATCTACCATAGTAACGCTCGCTTGAACAAATTTTGTATTTGTTTCCACTTCATCAGTTTGACAAATTTTTTGGTGCATTTGTACATTTTGCTTTATGGAAGTTAGATGTTGTCCTTCTTCTTCTTCCCAATAGATTTTGTTTTTGTTCTTTTGTAAAAGAATCGAATTTGACGAATATACATTTTGTTCACTTTGTATATTCTCCTTCTTTGGATCATAGAAAAATCGTCCTTTCATTTTTAAACGAAGATCTTCAATAGGAAGTTCGCGTAAAGCATGTTCACAGTGACGTAATATTTCTGGTTTGAATCCTATTGTGAAACAGAAACAAAATTACGTAGTATTAATTTACTCATTTCTATATCACTGTACCTGAATTAGGTTGAGAAGAAAATAATGTTAAAAAATTTATTTAATAATGTTGCTTTAATTAAAGATAAACTGTAGAAACCATTATAAGTTGACAAATTAAACTATTCTTACCTGGATACAAGACTGGCAGACTAGTTGAATCTAAAAAATGTATAAAACGTGAGAAATAAACTAATAATTTTGTTTATTAAACATAAAAAATGTTTGAAATATTGTATATATAGCTTTGAATAGTAATTAAATCAAATATATTCGCACCTTTAGCAGAAACAGATGCTTCTAACAGACTGGATAAACTTGTTTTTTCAAATTGCTGCAAAATTAATTCATAAGACAAATATTAATGTTTTCATACAAGATTTAAAAATTTAACTGCACACTACATGAAAAGGTACATAAAGATATTACTCATTAATTTCAAAGTAATATTTGTTGTTTTGTGTGTGATAATACAGAATAAAATATATAGCTATATAAAAAAAGAATTTTTTGTTATAATATATAACAAAATTACTTTTGTATCTGAGATGACTGGTGGTTCAGGAGTCTTCAATCGTTCTTCTTGTGAGGTATGATATCCATTATAAGAATCCGTAAATCTACGTTCCCTGTAGTTTTGTGAGATTGTATCCTTAGATTTATTAGAAAATTCAAAATTTTGAATTGGAGATTGACGAGTGGAAGGAATGCCATGAGATGAATTATATGTTTGTATATGTTCCACTGTAGATGTAGCAGATTCATGTTGTGGTGGTGAAATTGGTGCTGGAAGAAGTGCTGATCGATGTGTTGACTGAATAGAACCAGTATTTGGTTGATTATACATTACTGGA